TGCTGCTGCTGCTGCTACTACTAATATTACGTACTATTACTACGACCATTCACGACGACGACGACTACTACGGTACAGTACTAAGTCGGCGACGACGACGACTACTACTACTAGTGCTCTGCCACCGCTACTGCTACGATGACTACGACTACTACCACTATGCTGCTGCCTCCTCTTCCAAAAGCTTGTACAGTTGACTTGTCGGTATATTTGGCTGCTTTTTGTTGGGCAGCTTAGTGTGCTTAGCAATTCCTGTCTTGCGGGACTGCCGAGCTCCAACAGACTCGGAATCCCGGGAGAAAAGCTGAGACCGAGCCCCGCTCCATGTTGGATACGTGCTGGGCTTCGAACTGGCAAGGGCGACTGGCGGGCGATTGAGCTGCAAGCAAATTCTACGCGTCCAAGTTCAGATGGCTGAGCATCTGATCACAGCAAAGCATGAGGCCTTGAGGTCACACCACCCCCAGCCTTAACAGAATGAAGGGCTCTGCTACGAAAGTAAGCGCCCGAACGCCCAAGAATCACAAGGTAGGGAGTTTCATGAAGAATGAGTGCGCTGGGATACCGTGGGCACGAGGCACAGGACTCAGAACCATGACCGCGCAATCTCCAAACGCCGGGAATCCGCAAGAACACTGCCGAACCATTATCGTTTCCTCATGACAAGAAGAACAAAAAAAACAGACTAGATTCGAAGGGTGGCCTCATCGAAGCGGTCTAGCCAGCCCGTAATGCACCTCGCTGGAGCGAATATTAAATCCAACGTTTACCCTAGATGAAGTCCGAGGCATGAGCTTTGACTACCAGGTGTACAACAGTGAGGCTCAGATACCCAAATTGGGGTTTCCGAAAATAGGGGACCCTAATATAGCACCCCAAATAGTAGGATCCTTACTATAAGGACCCCAAATACAGTACCCCTTATTTTCTGAAACTCCCAAATGACCGGCTTGCTGCCGAGGTGCCTTACCACTACATCGGCTTGGCCGATGCTTGTGGCCTGGGCATAGGTAGAGACACGCCAAGCGTAGCGGCGTAGCTCTGTCATCTTTAGAAGGCAGGTGCTCACATGGCACAAGCTTTCCCCCTGATTCGCCCAAAAGCAGGCGATGTCAAGAGGTTGCTGGTGCTACCATCCGAAGGTCCGTGTTCCCCATGCAACTTGTATGGCCAGATGAAAGGCAAGGCAAAGGCACAAATGCAGCCGAATCGTTCAGTCTTTGATTGTTGTGCAACTTTGGGGGTACGTGCTCAGGCGACCACAGCCACCGACCAAACAATGTTCGCTAGCTCTTGCGGGCGAACTTCCTTGCAAACACATTCCAAGCCAGCACAGACGTGACTTGCGACGTCTGACAGACCGACTTGCCAGAGCGGCGTGACTTCTCGAACCACGAGCCATACGTGTATGTAATACAGTAATACAGCGATTCTTGCGCAAGCCTTGCTCGACTGTGTTAGCGATACGATACTAAGCATATGATTTGATGTTTCAAGCCCACCGACTGTCCTGGCGGGCAGCGGCGCCATCGGGGCCCAGTGAGGCCAGAGCCGTCTGCAGAAGATCTTCGGCCTGTTTGGCGTTTCTATGTCAATGCTTGCTGAAGACAGAGGTGTTGCTGCAGGTCCGACATGAAGCTGGCGAG